TGATATGATCACGGTTAACACAATAAACACAAAAAACATTCATACAATCATGCAGGGTACACACAAATATATAAAGTCAAATTGTTTTCTTCACCAAGAAATGTTTTTACAATCTAGAGTTTCCATCTTAACCATCATGTACTGTAAATTTGCATGTCTAGTTTCATCAGTTCATCAAATCACATTAAATTATTCGGTATCTCTTGGCATTTAACCCTGCCCCCCCCCTTCCGAAAAAAATAAATGATAAATATTATATATATGTATATGTATGTAATGTAATGTATGAACTTACAAACAAAGAAGGGGTTAAAATACCCAATGAGTCAGAAAGAAATATTGGAGAGATGGAAAGAAAAATATCAGATACTGTGTTTAAGGGTGGGGGAAGAGGGGGTTCTGCATTCGTGCACATGTCTCGGGGTGTGGTGTGTCTGGGGGGGGGGGGTGTATGGTGGTCTGGCAGGGGTGGGTGGACGTGCACGAGCATATGTGTGTGTGTGTGTGTGTGTGTGTGTGTGTGTGTGTGTGTGTGTGTGTGTGTGTGTGCGCGTGTGTTGTGTGTGTGTGTGGTGTGTGAGATAAGTGAGTGAGTGAATGTGAGTGTCTAATCTAAGTAAAAGTAATGGTTCACATTTGTGGGTTTACTATTTCTCTGTGTCATAAAGCAATCCAAATTTCAAACATGACATATATATTTAACAAAACAAATTTTGGGTAATGATTCCATTTTCTCTACCTAATATGTTAATATGTACATTCAATAAAAAAATGTTATCCCTTAACTTACAGTTTGTAACTGACCAGATTTTCTGACTGATTTCTACAGAGATTGTGAAAACATTTGCACAAGGTGAAACACTTTCATCCAGGGAACATGGAAGACACGGCGTTTCAAGCCAATACTATAACAATTTATCCTTACCCAAGTTTGTTACACAAATAATAGTTTCCTGGTATCTGACAGCACACTTGAAGGTTCTCATTTGTGATGGTTTAATAACCAGTGAGTTTCCATTTACCATTTTGTCCACCATATGAATTAACAAAGAACAAAAAACCATCTGTACAAACAAACAAATTTATACTTAACATCACAAAGAAAAATTCACCTAAATCAAATTTACATTCCTAGATGCAAACAACTACTGTCTGTTAACTGCATTTCGGTCCTGAAGTTAAGGCAATGCAAGCCTAACTGTGCTAACCATAAGGAAAAACATTTACCGAGGAAAGCTATAAATACACGAAAAATCACCATACAAAATCTCTATTGGTGGATACAGAGTTAGCTACCATTCTAGCACTGACTTTCTTTTATAGCACGGCTGGTTAT